TGTATCTACCATTGTATTGGTTGGTGGAGCATATGTGTCGACCTCATGTAGGCGGTAGCTGGAGGGAGAATCTGAGGAAAATTTGCTAAGGCTGCGGCCGAAAGCCGCTCAACGTGGGGCCCCATTCCCTTGAGGTGAGCGGTAGACCCATGACACGGTATGCGGGTAATTAGCCGTGCTGATCATGCAATTGGTGGTGATGTCTTAGACTTACATCACGTCAGCAGGCACGGTGGTCTGGCAGGTGGTGGCGGTCACAGAGGGCTTTTGAGTGTGCCTATTATTCGACGTGTCACTAATAACCGATACGATTTAGGGACCTTAAAGAAAAGAGCTAACTCCTATTTAAAAGGTTGCAGTTCTTCATGGGCAGCGGTCACTTACCATCAGGTGAGCTGTATGCTCGTTTGCCCCCTCTTATATTTAAAAGAATCGTGTTGCCTAATCCGTGTGATTTACATTCACTGTGGCTGGATTTGATCGTATTCTGTATGGCGTTTACACGCATTAATACGCGCGACTTCGATCAATGTTTGTGCTTACGCACTCCCAAGAGACCAAGCTCTCTTTTACGGGTACACCAGTTATTTTGCTGTGGACTATGGGCCGGTTCCCAACTTAATGTAACTTCGGGGGGAGCGCATTGGTTGTTTGGCGCTCAACGCACACGGCGTGTGTGGAGCCATGTGCCTCCCCCACATTTTTTTGAAATGTGGGATAGCGAAACCCTTACATCTGGTATTTGATATAAATATTGTGTGTGTAATTGTTTTCCAAACAGGAAGGGGTTAATTAATAAGGAATTGACTGATGTGAACCTGATACAAGTAGAATAGGGACGATTTAATGGTCTTAAACTTTTTGAGCCCTGTTTTCGTGTACGGTGTTCTTTAGCTTATAAGGCACTACCAACATCTTTCGAAAGGCCTAAGTTACTATACAAATACAACGTAAATAAGGGTCCTAATTAAGACGATCACGCCATAAATTTATTAACGGCCATTATTCAAACCTTTTGAAAGATCAATCTATGGTTAATATACTGGTCACGTAAATTTGATATATTTTTATATATCTTATAGATATAGATTCTAAAGAAAGAAGGTAGAGGGGTGGGGGGGGGGAGTGTTACAATTGGTATCTTTAAGGCGAGTAAGCATTTACAAGACCAGTGTGTTCCATTTTAGAGGCGTTGTCTTCACTAATAATGAGGTAAGAGCCCGATCCAACGCGTGTTTAGTAGTTTGTATAAAAACCGAAAATTGAAATAAAATGTTAGTGATGTTGTAAATATCTATGTAATAGGTCTACATACAACTGTTTAATAAAGTAAAGTAAATAGTTGTATAATCTTACAGAAATACATAAAATTACAGTTAAGAACATTGCTCTAATGAAATGATAAGTCGGATTGTGGAACAAACTTAAATTAGCAACGGAAGAAAAATGTTCTTCCTTATATGATTTACATTACAGTCAATGCTTCAAATGCAAATGTAAGTTTGTAATCGCAATAAATATATTTATATGTAATAGTCCAACTTAACGATTTACGAATTTTTCCTTTAATTTGTGCTATAAAACCTAGCTTATTCCCAAATTTCATATTTCTAGGCCAATGGGATGTACCCAATTGTTTTTAAGATTCATTTTGCTAGTATCAAAATAATATTTGACTTTTATGTTGAGTTAAAAAGTTAAAGTTACAGGATACTATATTATATAGGATACGTCACACAGCCTGTGCACAGGACTCCCCTCATTTCTGAGATCTGAACTACCACGGCTCTACTTTCATGTAAAAATATAAAATATTTCAATACAATAACTATTAGATTGCAAGCAAGTTTCATTCTATTTACAGCAAATCAACGGGCAGAAATGTCTTCACGAAATCTCTTATTACTGCATTGGATAAATGCGTCGAAATCCGATTACAATAAAGGTTTTACTTTAAAAAATCAAGTACGTAGTATCCACCTAGTTTTCTTTTCAACATTTCTTAAATTAACTCAATAAATCTCATTTCGTACGAGATTTTACATAAATAGCATTAATTAATTTGTAACTATGTTTATTTGACATCTAGCGACCCGCCCTGACCTGGGTAGGATCAATTAATGTGGCTTTACTGCACTAATAACGCCACATAATTATAATAATTAAAGACCATTTATTTTAATAACTTTTGGTTTAAAAAAATCTGTTCGAGAAGTTTTATTACAATCGGTTCTGCCATTCAGACAGACAGACTGACAAACATTTTTAAACGAAACGCATAACGTCTGATGCTGTGATCTTCAATTCGCCTGTCAAGTGTCAGGCAAGTCCTACTACAGCGGGAGAGGTCCATGTCTAACAATAAACTTTTATCAAGAAAAACAAAAAGTACAATACTGTACCTATGGCAAGAATTACACCGTAAAGTGGCGGCGGTAGAGAATCCACTACCCTATATAGCCAGGAAAATTGTTCCACAGGTCGAGATGGAGGCTCTGTAGGAAAGGAGGACGATTTGTCTGAGGAGGAACAACTGTATGTGCATTTATTACTCTATTCAAAAATTAAGAATATGTTTTTTACGATAGAGTATCCAAGCAAAAACTGTTTCCGTCAAAAGACAGCCTCTGGAACGCTCCCTTAGAATCAACCATATCGATAGCCCCCTTTGCCCATGTATAAATACGCCACTATTAATGATTAAAAAAAAACAACAGTGTCAAAAAATGTTATTGTTCTTAAAACGTTTAATAGATTATGCTAAAGGACAAACATTTCATTTAAAAGTCTTAATAAAAGTCTGGCCATCAGGTTTCTTGGTATCCTCTCTAAAATTTTCGCACGTTCTATTGTATACTGATAAGAGAAAATATTTTTTTGAGGCAAAAGCTCTAGTTCGGATCATCGTGACCCATCCTGCTACGGTTATTTGCACAAAGTAACACGAAAATAAACTCAGCGATGCTGATATCTCAGGACTACCGATGTGGTAGATAGACTGGCTCTCTTAGTGCACTAAGGCTACATAATAACAAAGTTAAATAACCTGTTAAAATTAAGGCGAAGGTAAAATTAAGTAACTTCTGTTTATTTGAAATTTGACTATTTCGTTTCGTGGATGTGGGTTGTAAGGTTTTTATTTACTAACCAAAAAATGCGTTATTATATCACTGATAAATAACCATATTACTATCTCATATAACATTCTAGATGCAAAATAACCAAACCGGTGAATTGGTGACAGGTGTCTAATTCTTTTCTAAAAAAAAAAACACTGTGATCGCTCATCCGCCTGCTAAACGTGGTGATTTATAATCTTATTCCTACAATGATAGAGGTTTTAATAGTTTGGGAAGTCCGGCAATGGATTTTACGAGCACGTAAAGAAGAACAAGATATGTTTCTTCCTAATTTTTACAATATTTTTGTTGTGTTTAATAGGTTTTAATTGGATACACAAGGCAAAATGTTGTCATGTGTCAATATTGTCCTAAGTATTGTCGTAATAGACAGATTTTCTCTCATATTTAGCTTCTTGGATATAACTTATTACTTATTATTACCTACTACGACTGCAAATTGATTTTTAAAGTTAATGTATAAACTGTATAAACATACTATCCGAGAAGAAACTACACGCAAAAGAGAAACATAAAACAAGGGAAAAAAAAGGATAACGGACACTATTCCGTTGCATGAATATCTAGTAGTACTTAATATTTTATTTGGGTTTTAAAAAACACAAACTGAACACTAAACATATTTTTTTTAAATACTTACTTTTTGTATATTATATCACCATCCCGTCGAGTTTGAAGTTTTATTGAAGACCTAATATAGGTAACTTATACAACAACATTGGCGGATGAGTCATTCACGACTTCAGAATCAAAAGGTAATCAGACCTGACTTTCATCTATGCATTAAAAAGTCTGAATTAGTTTTGACTAGAAGTCCATGACCTTCACTGCAATGATCAGTGATCGTTGGTTATTAGTCGTTAAATAAAAATTACAATTATATTGTAATAGGATTAAATTTGTTTACCAATATTTGGATCCTGTTCCTGTGTAGAAAATTGTAAAGTTTGAAAAACTTTTAGAGTACCTTTGTTCAATAATACAATAAAGACCGCCGCCAAAATTCTAAGAAGGAAAAAAACTCCAATTTTTCCTCTTAATAATATTCATTTCACAAGATTTCCGTATGCTGCCTTATGCTGGCTGAGTTGTTACATGAGAGTAAAAATCATTTCTTATTTTGTAATCAGTAATGTATTGAAAAGTTACAACTATTAAATAGTCTGATTTATTCGGCCCATTTAAATTTTGCATAGTTTTACCGAAAATGTGTATTTAATATTAACATAAGGGTGAGACGTTAATATCAGAGAGTAGAGATTTATTTATAATTTATTGCTCTATAACCCTCTCATAAATAAGAGGATGCCCTTGCCCCGCTGTTAGACGCTTATAATATATATAATTCTGTTACTCCTAATTATTAATAAAGTAAATTTCTTCTTTTCATTTTATACTATCCCCTAAAAGTTCAGTGCTGGATATGGTATATGGATACCTCTCTCGTCGTAGGCTTTATACACTGCCAGCCAAAAGTTTAAGACCACACTTAAACAGCATAATTATCTATAAATTATAACGAAATCCCATAAGATAAATAAAAGCAATGTACACTTGCATATTCTATTGTTAATATCGAATATCTAAAGAAGTCATTCTTTTATTTACTTTCAAGCTATTGAACAGTATTGTTTACAAACACCGACAAACGCTACGTTAGAGCCAGGTGGTAGAGTCGTAATAATATTTTTATGATGGGCTTATAACTAATTGCTTTGCTTTTGTTTCCCATTGGTAATAAGGATTATTTACCTTCTAAAAACACGTGTTTCCGACTTATTACCTGAGTTTACATGATTTTGTTCACAAATAATCTCAATTAGTCTAAACTTGTGGTTTCTACAGTAAAGACGTCTTAAAATGGGAAAAGCACGCGAGATTAGCAGTGAAGGGCGTTCTGCCGTCGTTACTTTACGTAATGAAGGCAAATTCGAACGTGAGATTGCTTTACAATTGAAGTTATCGAAGACTTGTGTTCATGGCACAATAACTCGATACAGGGACACAGGCACTTTTCAAGATCGTCCACGCTCAGGAAGGCCGAGAGCTACCACGTCAAGTGAAGATCATTTCATACCGAGAATCCGCGTTGAAGTAAACAAAACCCGAGTTAAACCTTTATCAGTGACTTCAGTAAAATGGCGACTGAGAGATGCGAAATTGTATGGTCGTATCGCCGTTCGAAAACCTCTGCTAAGGCCACAAAACAGTAAAAAACGGATGTAATGGGCCCTTGCCCATCGAGGTTGGACTGAAGAAGATTTTAAAAAAGCTCTTTGGACCGATGAATCCAAATTTGAGCTATTCGGTTCAAAATGAAGAATTTACGTTCGACGCAGTGACCAAGAAAAGATAATGCCAGACTGTATAGTCCCAACAATCAAGCATGGTTACCACCGCTTACCAGCTACCGCTCAGTTATGGTCTGGGGCCGCTTTTCTAGCCAAGGAACTGGAGATTTGATCAAAATTGACGGAATTATGAAAAAGGAAGAGTACAAAAAAATAGAACAAAATGCCGTTCCTTCGGGGTTGCGATTAATTGGAGATGGATTTATTTTCCTACAGGACAATGATCCTAAGCATAGTTCAAAATTAAGCAGAGGATATTTGGAAGAAAAAAAGGCACAAAAGGTGTTAAAAACATGGTTTGGCTTCCTCAGAGCCCGGATCTCAATCCCATTGAACTTTTGTGTGAAGAAATGTGAAATGCTTTGTGCGAAAGTTGGAGCAATATATCACAAGACACTATCAACAAATTGTTTGCCCGTATAGACTTGTGAAAAAAGTCATAGAATGCAAAGGAGGATTTTTTGATGAAAATTCAGTTAGCTAACTATAGTCTTTCTTAGCATGGATATTTATTTACGCTTTTCAAGTATATTGATTGTCAAAAGTGTTTTATTGGATGATTTAACAGTTTAATTAAACATTTAATATTTTATTGGAGTTTAATTTAATTTTCCTACTTTAGTTAAGGTGGTCTTAAACTTTTGGCATTTTGGATTTGACTTATTCGTTACGCTTGAAAAACATATTGCCGATAGATGTCTCGCACTTTTGACGCTGGCGTCCGTTTATCAAAAATCTGACTGTTGTTGGCTACAGATGACACATGCAAAGTTTTTACAGGAAACAATTAATATAGCTGCAGCATATTAATTGTATAGTTGAGTAGTACAAGACTCCTCCAACAACAACAGCAAAACATTTTTTAATTTACACGAATAAATAAGAAATATATTACTTCAAAATGAAATATATTATTTGTCTAAGTCAGTAAAACGAAGGTAATAAATTTTCATAAAGAAAAATATCACACAATTGTTGTAATAAAAAATATCAAAATTTTAGTCCAAACAAAAAGTTTTTGTCGAACACGACGGTTTCATATTTGAGGTTAAATGTTTTCAGTATAAAAATCGTATGTTTGTTCATGCGAAAGTAATCTGTGCGTAGGAATGATGTCAAACATTCTCTTCTTTGTATTCATATCAGATGGTTAAATGCTTCGAGTCAAATAACATTATAACAAAAATATGCTCTATTGTAGCAATCAGTTCGACGATACAACAACTTTTATTTTGATAAAACACATGATGTTGCCTTGGTCTTTGCATGAACACGGCTTTTTTAGACTAATATATATTTGAAGTCTATCATATTGTTCCAGATAGGACGGTTCCACGGGACCACAGGTTTTCTAAATAATACAAATAAAACAGATTATCTTTAGTTGCTTTTGCTTTATGTTAGAAATTAAGATTGCAATTAATAACGTCAGTGGTTCAAGCATGGAGCGTACAATGACAATTAAAGCAAGCGCCCAGCACCAGAGTCACTGTGGCTTTCTAAACCACAAAAATTTTCTTTTATCGTATTTTTTATTATGACATCCTAATTTATCATTATAGTATGTGATTTTAACACGAACATGATGTGCTATATACAATCAAATTTAAAACTATTTCTTAAAAATATATATTAAAATTTTTTTTCTAGTAAAACTTTTTTTTTATAGACAAAATAATAAAATATTTCAATCGAATTCCCGATAGACCGTAAATAAGTCTGCCTCGATTACAGTGAGTCGAGGGGTAGACACGTCTTCCCGAAATCTCTTTATTACTGCTTGTGATAAGGCTTGTCGAGACGCGGTTCTTTCCGATAAAAAAGTATTTTTGTGTATCTGTAAACTCTTTTTACATTTTAGTCAAATAATTCGTTCTTTAATAGCAAAATCTTTAACATACTAAAAATATGAACATTAAGAAATAAAAAAAGTTTTACTTTAAATCATGATTAGCTATTTAAAACCATTTCTGGACCATAGGAGAAGCCTCAACTGGCAAATCTAATGAAAATAAAGGTTTTTGTTATTTGAAACATTTACTACTCATATTGCTTAGCAGCAGAGTAAATGAGTTTAAGGCCAATATTATTGTATTGATAATGCTCAACAGTTTATAGTTATTCGGTTTCCGCTGTCAAACATAACAACTTTATGAAACTATATTCTGTCAAAAAACGACCCGACTTTAATTTTTCAAGAAAAAAATAAAACCATATAATTTTTATATATTTTCTCTACATTATATAATCAGAGGAATAATGCAAATATTCTGTGAATTATCGGTCTCAAATGATTTGCTATTTAAATAGAAGTAATAGAACAATTGATAATTTAAATTATAAGTAATGCGATGTGTCTTTAACATGCCATGTGTGTGAAACTGTGAGAAGGAATAGCTACAAAGCTAAAACACGTATTCACAAACATTACGATGAGATTTCACAGTACGCTCGAACGTAATGTAACACAAATAAAGTAAAAAAAAACTTGAGAGACGAACAATACGATGTGTCCATTTAATTACAATGAATGTACAGGTAAAGTAGCTCGCTAGCTATTTTACTCTACGCATAGTGCGAAATAGCACAAATAACACAAATTTCAATCTGGTTTGTTCTGTTGGTTGCCTCAGTAATTAGAATTGAATTCTTGTTAATTTTGTTTTGTTTAAGAAATTCAAATGAATTACAGTAGCGAAAAATAATATTATTATTGCACGTTGAATATTGTAGAAGTGGTAAGTTAAAAATTACAAAATGCATGTTTATTAAAAAGTTCAGCAGTAATCTAAATAGAAATGATTTGTAAAAAATATTTAAATGAGCAGTAAAATAAACATTGAGCAGTAATATGACTGAATAGGCAGTTATTAGTGGGCAGTTAAAAAAAATCGGAATTAGTCGGTAAGAAACCTCCTTCTAAACAGTGCTCAAGTATTTCTGGGTGCTAAAGTATTTCTGGGCACGATAAAATCTACAAGAAGAGCAACCAAAGACGGAATGAAGAAAAATTAGTACGTCATGCACCGTAAACTGCCCAAACTATTTATCGAATTGCCCATTCCATCATTTTACTGGCTATTCATTTATTACTCTGCTTAAATAATTTTTGAACCTGAATTGTATAACGAAATAACCGCTAAATTTTTTTTTATTACTGTTCATGTTTTATTGCTGTAGTAATTTACCAACCACCAGAAAATTATTTTTTCAACTGATTTTAATAACATCTCTAATGTTTAAAAACAGTTGTAAAATATATTATCCTATTATTATTATATCCTTAACAGAATAAGCCTTTAAATAAATAGCGATCTTTAACGTATCTTTTCCATTATCATGGTGTTGCTCCTATGCTTACAAAGTTATGTTTGCGAATACAGGCATTGTCATAGTTTCCTTTTCTTGCCTTTATTGGTGCGTAAATATCCATTGCTGAACATGAAGTCTCGTTGCTGGGTATTTTATCAGACGTAAAATAGCATCATCTATCAGTAGATATAAGATTTCTCTGGCTTTTTCTATACTACAATTGTTGCAATGGGGTGATGGATTCTAATCAATAAACAAGTTTAAATGTTTTATTAAAGAAAAACTGTACAAAAAGGGTTATTATAATATCAAGGAATACATGAATGAAAATAACCGCTGGCAATAAGGTGATCGCCATCATGCTGGTTCTATGAAAAATCATTTAAAAATTGTATAAATTAAATTATTGTTAAGTGAAATATGTTTGAAAAAAAAGTCCCGCTGGGTTTCTTGCTGGTTCTTCCCAGGACAGAGGTATTTTCCGAACCAGTGGTAAATAAAAAATGACTTTCAATAAGTATTATGTAATAATCAATATTGAATAACAAATTATTCTATTCTAATGCCGCCACCATACGAAAAGTTTAAATGAATATTTAAGTTTACAGTTTCTATGAATGTTTTCAATGTTAAGGGAGCTTGAAATATATAGCATCGGTTTGGTTTAAATGAAATAGTATATTTAATATAGTAGGGCAGTTACTTTAACTATACTGACTACACGAACTGATCCAATGAATACGATCGCGTGGAATTTCGAATTACCTTATTTCTGGGGCATATGGGGGTTAAGATATTATTGTAAACGTAATAATAGTAATCAAAAAGGGGGTTAAAAGTATAGTAGCGGTGGAAGAGAATCCACTAAACCATATTATCAATCCGTGGGCGTCGACAAAAGGCGGCAAAGGGAAACTGAAATAGGAGATGTGCAGCAGCATCTTCTTAATAACGCTTCAATAATAAAATAATAACAAACTGCAATTGAGAGTATGCCACCAGCTTAAAACCACTAATAACAAACTGTATTATCAACAAATACCACAGACGTCAAAGTCAAGAAGTCAAGACGTCTTATAAGCGAAATGAGTCGAAAAACATCGCGTTATTTTTGATCGTTACTTAACAAAAACTTGTTGTCACATATTGCAGGTCAATTTTTGTCTCAATCTCAAAGCTTAGAATGGCCTTAAGAATGAACAAAGTGCTTTCGAGAACTAATGACGTCCTTTCAGAAAAATCGGACGTCATGCAGCGATGGAGCGAATTTTATAGAGAAATGTATGCGTGTGATGATCTTAGTGAGGGATCCGGGGATGACGCCGTGACTGGTACGCCAGACCCGGATCTCGATGACACTGAGGTCATCAGTATGAAAGAGATTGAACGTGCGATTCGAAGTTTGAAATGTGGTAAGGCTGCGGGACTAGACAGAGTTACTGCTGAAATGGTCAAGTATGGTGGGCCTCGCGTCTGGGACAGCTTTCATCTGCTGTGCAATTTGTGCTGGCGGACGGGGGATGTCCCGGATGATTGGCGATCCGCAGTCATTGTGCCTTTATA